GTTGTGTTTGATTTTCTTTCAGTAGCCAGAATTCAGGAAAATGACTCCTTTTTTAGAGTAAGTGTTCCTGGGCCTTCCCTCTCTTAGGGAGGTGGCGGTCATGACATTGGGGCAGGCTGTTTTGTCATCACTCACGGCTTTCTGTGCTTACGGGGTTCTTGAATATTTTGAAAATTATAAGACAAATATGTGAGTGTGCATTTTTCCCCCTTAGGTCTTACTGTGCTGGCAGCGTGGAGAAGGGAGTCCATAAACTCAAAGGCTCTTTCTTATTTCTCTGCCCCGTTCCTCCTCCTGAACTGTAGCATATCTGTTTGGATAATTAAAAGGTCCTTCAGCTTGCCCCTATCTGTATTAGTTTCCTGTTGCTTTTGTAACAATGTACAAATGGAAGGCTTAAGAACAACATGTAGTTAAGAGTGTATCGTTCTGGGGCCCAGAGCTGACCAGACATTGCCACCACCACCCAGCTCTATCTGTTCACTAATTTTCACGAAATACAGGGTTAATGTCTGAAGTATCCTGGACCCCAGGCTGGCTCCCTGCCCCTGCCTTCCACTCTTGGGTGTTCAGAGTTAATTACAGCCCGATACTGTGTGAAAGTGAAATCTTACGTCACAGAGGACACTGGAGAGAATCTTGCAAGGCAACTAGGATTTGCATGGAAGATTTCAGTCTCTTTTTGTTCATATGGATGAGTATTCCCTCTCGATTATTGGGAATAGAGAATGAAATTAAGCTCAGGTTATCTGAGCAACTCTTTCCCTCCCCTTCCTGAGCAAAGGAAAGGGTATGTTTTTCAAAGTTGCAGGTGGCTTCTCTTTCTATTATGTAAATAAAGCATGTCTTGTCAGATTTGACGGGGAGCTTGTGACATCGTCAATGAAACGGCATCGGGATGGGTGAAGTACCACCATTGAAACAGTAGCAACATGCAGGCTTCCAATCCTATTCTGAACTTTTTGTCTAATGTCCCCACATGTGGGAGGACAACTGTATGGCTTCATGAAATGGAGGGGAAACTAGGTCACGACTTGAAGCAGTCTACTTGCTACAAAGAAAAAGAATCTGGATATCACATGCACTCCCCATCCCCACCCCACTTTTAGGGAGGAAGAAAAATGTTGACTAAATTTTCGGCAATTTTTATTTATTAAGATCCTACCTTAATTAAAATTCCTCAAGACATCTGAAAATGAAAGGTAGCACATATGAAAATGAGATACTCCAAGAAGTAACATATTCTGCAAATTAAAATTGATTTTCGATCAGAAGTTCTGTGCTGAGCCCTCCCACAGCTGAGAATAAAGATGGCCTTGTTTATACCCTCCTTCACTCTGTCAGTGTGATGGCGCTGACTGCATTAGTTGCCTGTAACTGCTTGACATTTTAGTTTTGTGGATACAAATGTCTATTGATTCCCCCCCCTTCAGTAATGTATTAACAAGTTCCATACCCCACATTTTGGGTTATACTTTCCATTTTGTGTTTTAGCAACTGAAACAGAAAATGTATATAATTACTTTGAGTCTTGTTTTGAAATGCAAATCACAAGTATTGTTCAGCTCTTCAGAGAGCCCCAGATATATCACAGACAAGTCGATATTTAAGTTAAGCAGGAGATAAACTTCCCTATTCGGTTCTAGAAAGTGGCATTAATGAGATATAACTCACATGCCATGCAATTCACCCATTGCCTGTTCATTTTTCTCTGCTGGTCCTGGGGATGGGATCCAAGGCTTTGCTTACCACAGCAAGCATTCTACAGCTGAGCCACACCCCAAGCCCTAATTTAGAAAACCATTCCCTATGGTGCTTTTAATGTATTTTGTCGGTATTCTCCCTTTTCCAAGCGGTAGACAGAAATGAGTGCGTTGAGATGTACAGAGAAGGGTATTTTAGGTATGGAGGGCAGATACAATGAAGCCACCAGGTGGAAATGGGCCGAAGGAACGAGAACCTGGGTGTCTCAATGCTGGGTTTTAATTCGGCGTAAGAAGCAAGCTGTGGCTTTCTCAGATCACCGAGGTAAACGGGCTCCAAGGACAGTGCAGGAAGAAGCAGGGGAGGAAGAAAACCAAGACGTGTCAGGTGGAATCCCGCTACTCCTCCCTGACTGTTTGGTCTCATTTCTCTCCATCAGACTTCCCTGTGCATGCTTTAGTTTGTTTCTTTTGCATTCGGGGTTGTCACTGCCTCAGCAGGCTGTGAACTCCTGCAGGGCCTGCTGTTTATCTGGTGCCCGATGCATGGTGGCCACTTGACACTGTTAAATGCACAGATGCACACACTGACTTAGTTCAGACTTCGCCAGGGGAGGAATCTGCTATGTTGTCCAGGACCAAGTGTATCTCTTAGGTAAGACACCTGGCTCCTGTGCAGTCGGGTTCCTGTTCCTGCTCCATCCCGCCAAGTGACGCGGTCCTTTTGATAGCCTTCTTTCCCTGCACCCACTAAAGGCTGGTTCATGAGATCCTATGCGGGGGTGGGGGAGGAGTCAGTTGCTTCCCATTTTGACAAAGCACTATTTTGGTCGTCTTGACCTATGTCCATTTTTCCTTGTGACTCTGGCTGACACCTGCCTTTCCATTCTGCCCTGGTCCTCGGTGGTAGTCTGTCTTTCCTGTTTCCTTCCTTTCGCTCAGCTGTGTCATCCAGAATTGCTTTAGCTTCTGTTCATGTGTCTGATAAGCACTTAGCTCCCCCGCTTTTAGTAATCTTTCTTCTCTGTTATGGCAGGAGGAGCATCATCCCCTCCTCATCTTTTTGTTTAATTAGTATCTGGAAACCCAAGGGTAAGAATTAGACCAGATTCTGGCTTGTCTCCATTCTCACAGTCTGTCTGGGGATGACAAAAATTAGCTGGGTGCTTTTCATTCATTCAGATAGCTTGACTGGGATACAGTTGCAGATGAAAACAAGAATTCTTACCCTTATAGACTTTCCATTTTGATAAGACAGATACAATAAACAAACGTTAGGTAAATGCTATGTTGAGTTCTGTGGAGGGGGGTTCCATCATGCTGTGCAAATGTTTATTAAAAGGATTTGCTCTGGCCAGGAGAGCCAACACAGCTTCTTTCAGAAAGTGAAGGGTAGCTTGAGGTTGGAAATCATGGTAAGAAATAAGCAAGCAAGGGCAGCGGGGAGGAAGGATAGAAGATGCAGAAGTCTGTGCTGAGTGGGGTGCGGGACCGCTGAAGAAGGCTGGGCACAGAGAGTGACAGGTAGAGTGATTTCATGGGAGGCTGAAGAGGTGAGCTCTGTGGGCCGCGTGAAGGATTCCTCTCCTTGCCTCGTGAAGGGCTTTTCTCCTTAGATGCCTTGAAGTGCTGTGAGCAGGAGAAATAGGGAGGCAGGTATTAAAAGTGTTTCTCATTTTAAAAGCCTGGATGTGAATGTGCTGAAGTCAAGGAGGTTGGGTAGAAAGCTTAGCATAAGAGAGGACACAGAAACACCAGTTAGGATGCTGTCGTGGCAGGTGCAAAAGACGTCAGTCACAAATGAAGCTGTTGGCTAGCTCTCACTTAATTATTAACCCATAATTACTAATATATATTTTCATAAGGCCTTATCTTACCGAGGATGCCAGGGTCATGTGTCCTCCCCTCCTGGGATCACATGGTGACTCCCTCTCTTGACTACATTTCCCAGAATCCTCCTTGACTCCTAGTCCCACCTATCTTGCTTCCCTATTGGCTAACCATGCTTTATCAACCAATAAGACAAACATATACACAGAAGGACTTCCCCCATCAATTTGGTATATGGGAGCTGCGTACATGTGCCATGTTTATATGGGCAGATCAGAGGATAGCTCCTGGAAGTTGGTTCTTGCCTTCTACCTGTGGGCCCCAAGGGTTGAACTCAGGTCTTCAGGCCTGCTGGCTTAGCGCTTAAGTTTCCAAGTCCACCTCACTGTCCTGCTTGCTCTTTTTCTCATTTTAGACATTGTCTCTGTAGCTGACACAAGCCTTGAACTCCTGCCTTAGCCTCCTAAGAGCTGGGACTGCAAGCATGTGCCATGCCTGGCTTTTACACTCACTTCCTATTTAATGTATTTATTTATCAAAAAATTACTTTTGAAAGTTGATTTACCACAAAAGGCACAAATACAATAAATAAGCCAAATGAGAAATAAAGGATGGCTTAAAGGTGTATAAATAAAATTATACCAGAAAATAAAGGAGAAAGATAATGACTATGGTCTCTGCAGAACTAAGCTCTGAATTTCTGCAGTCTGAACACAGAAACTCTTTCCTTGGTCTGAGCATTTAAAGTCCTTTATCATAAAACAATATTCTGGAAACTTGGTAGTTTAAAATTGTTTACCTAAAACTTCAGGGCTTGGGCTCATAGCATTAATCTACTTAGTTGATTGATCTATGTTTTTAGACAGGGTCTCTTGCTTTAGACAGGGTCTTTTAGACAGGTTTGCCTCAAACTCATTATGTAGCACAGGCTGGCCCCAGACTTACTGTCCTCTGATTTCCAGGTGCTGTGATTAGAGACCGTGCCGCCAAACCTAACAGTATTTTTAATAGTAGACCACACAGGAATTTGAAAAGAGTGAAGCTGCTTATATGCACTCCTTGTTACAGACTAAGAGATAGAAAAAGATTAGCAGGGAAACAAAGGCTAATAGAGGAGGCAAAAAAAAAAATACAGAGTAGGTAATGCAGTTGTGATGCAGCTAACGTTCAAAATAGACCTTTATAGACCTCCTTGAAGACCCTCCCTTACACCATTTTAATTTTTTTCTTTTTTTCTTTTAATTTTTTTAGCTTGCTTTTCTAGTAGCTATTTAACTCACATTCACAAACATCTATTCATAGAAAGCATCCTTCCTCCCTCATAAGATACATTATTCTGGGATAAAAATAAAAAATACCGTGCACAGAAGTGGTAGCCTTATTTATTAGCTGTTTGCATTCTAACCACTAGAACATGAGAAAATAAAGAACCTTTAAAACAAAATCATGAGGGAATCTCAGTGACTCTCTTAGGAGTTCTCTGCCCAAGGCTTTATTCTCCACACATTCCATCCCATTAGTTCCCCAGCAGCAGCATCTCTATGTTTATCTTGGTATCACGTTAGGACCACAGCTCAGGAGGGTCCCAGGAGAGCCAGAAAAAGAAGTACAGTAAGGAACAAGTCATAAGTACAGTCACCACCCAAGCCCTGGGCTTTTGAGATAATGGCGCTGATCCATTTTTGGTAGTAGGTCACGTTGACGTAGACTCCAGGAGGAATTTTGCCACATTCCAAACCCCAGCTTACGACACCCATCTGGATCCAGACACCATCAATGTGACATGACAGAGGCCCTCCAGAGTCACCCTAAGGGAGACAGAAAGGCCAGAGCTCAGCAGTGAGAAGACCTGAGGGGTGGGGGGAGTGTTATCCGTCAGGAGGGATGAACAGGACGGACTTGGTCCCTGAGCTGTGCAACTGCAAGGGAGCTGGACTTCCCACCGCTTCAGGGAGCCCTCGTTCTAGAATCAATAAAATTTGAAGTTGGCAGGGACCTTAGAAAAAATAGATGAGTGCAAAGCACTGCCCTTGTTTTTCCCCATAGGTTCTTACTGTGTTTTTAATGTGGTGTTCATTTCTTCTGCGGGATGATGACAGCCATTAGTAATTTGCCTCCTGTCTTGTTTCTTTGTTTTGTAACAGTTTTAAGATTTAATGCTGATCTCAGCTGACTTTGTGTGTCTGGTCTGATGCTTGCCCACACTGTTTTGATTACTGTTGCTTTATAGAAAGCTTTGGAATCAGAAGGTTTCAGTCTTCCAACTCTATTTTTCTTCTTCAAGACTGGTTATGGCCATTTGAATTTCCATATGGGTTTTAGTATCAGCTTATTAATTTCTCAGTCTAGCTATTTTTTCCCAATTTTATTTTAAAATAAACTTTAGCTTTTTTTTTCTTTTTATTGTCTTTCTGTTCTCTCCTTCAGTAAATAAAGTCCTTATTTCTTTGTTCTTTGTGCTCCCCAACCCCCAGAACTGTGCCCTCTTTCCCCTCCCCCTCTCTCCCTCCTCTTTTCTCCCTCTCTTTCCCTCTCTCCCTCTCCCCCCTCTCTCTTTCCCTCTCTCCATCTCTCAACTCTCTCCACCCCTCACCCCCTCTTTTTGGTGGCTGTCTTTCTCCTTGTGCCCTTCCTTACCCCTTTCCTCTTCAGTGTTCAGAGTGAAACCATGGCATTGCAGACTGGGAGGGTTAGGGTTAGGGTTAGGGTTAGGGTTAGGACTGCACAGACTGGGAGGTCTCTGCCACTACAATATGTCCTGCCTCCTTTCCCAGTGTCTTAATATAGAGATTGTGCACTTGAGATATTCTTGTTTATACAACTGACGTTTACAACTATGAGTTTCTCTAACCACTGCTTAAGCTCCACCCATAAGATGTGTCTTTACTTCATTTCTATCAAACTATTTCCCAATTTATGTAATGATTTCTTTTTTTGTTTCTTTTTTTGTTTTTTGTTTTTTTGCTCTCACTGGTTATTTGGGGATATGTTAACTACCACACATCTGAATTGTCCATATTTTTCTGTTACTTATTTCTAACCTTACTCTGTTATTAGAGACCCTCCTTCTTTTAAATTTCAATCCCCTTAACTGTATTAAGGCTCAGCTTACAGCCTTGGATAAATCGGTTTTGGAGAATGTTCTGTGTGCACTTAAAGGGTGTTCTGTTCTTTGCTGCTTATCCCAGAGCAACTCTGCTGCACATGAAATAGAAAAGCCAACTCTATGAAGGCAATGGAGAGAGGCCAAAAGCAGACAGAAATTGGGGTTAGTCCTCAGAAGAAAAAGAATAACTTTGTTTTTAAGTGGTTTTCTCTTAAACAAGCCCATCCTTGGCTTATCTGATAGCTAGAACGTAAAGAGAAACCCACAGTCTTGCTGGCTTGAGATCAGGGGACAGAGCTCAGAGCTACCACAGCCAGTTAGGAAGTGAAGGGTGAAATGCTAGAAAGGAGAGAGCAAAGGAGGAAGAGAGGGAGAGAGAGAGCCAGCCAGCAGCCTAGATTCAGCCAGAGCAATGCAGCATATACTTGCATGAAATGGAGGTCCAAGCAGCGGCTGGGTTGCTTGGTTGTTTTTATGGTTCTAGGAATCAAAGCCAAGGCTTCACAGATGCTAGGCAAGTCTCTACCATTGAATAATGCTCATAAACCTTGATAACTGACAGTTGATCAGGAGAATGACATTTGAAAAGTATATGATGAAATATTATTAAGAAAATTTAAGGCCGGGTGTTGGTGGCGCACGCCTTTAATCCCATCACTGAGGAGGCAGAGGTAGGCGGATCTCTGTGAATTCAAGGCCATCCTGGTCTACAAAGCAAGTTGCAGGACAGCCAAGACCATTTCACAGAGAAATTTGTCTCAAACACCCCCAAGAAAGAAAGAAAGAAAGAAAGAAAGAAAGAAAGAAAGAAAGAAAGAAAGAAAGAAAGATTCGGGGAGTTTGCTATATCCATGTCTCCTAGTAATGTCAGCAGCTACAGAGGCTCTCACCAACATGACTGCCCAAATCTGAGCTGAACAGAGACAGCAACAGACATGCCAGAGTAGACAGTGAAAAGCCCATGCATCCTCAACCCCACACAAAGAGCTGTAGGCAACTGAGGAATGCTGAGTCAGAGAGATGGTCTTGGTTATCTAATACCAAATGGTCAGCCCTAAAAACATACACATAAGCAACATTATATAGACTGAGCAGGTTATATTTATGTGTAGAGACATATATGTATGTGTGTATATGCATGTAACAAAAATGAAATAAAAATGGAGGCTGTGAATTTGAAAGGTATCACGGAGGGGCGTATTGGAGGGTTTTGAGGGAGGAAGTGAAAGGGGGAAATAATGTGATTATAATCTCAAAAATAAAATAAGTACATTTGAATATTGATGTAGGTCAGTTGATTTGTCCCGCATAACTGAAGCATTACTGTCAGAACCATCATTCGCTTCTTGGGTGGCAATTTATTGTTAATTACAGCTAAAACAACTCAGATACGACCTCCTGGCAGGGGAGAAGGTACCCGGAGTGCCTCAAGGGCTGGCACTAACCTTGCAGCTGTCCTTCTTCATCCGAATGTCGCTAGCACAGAACTCGTCCTTCTTGACGACCCGCTCCAGTTCTGGGAGGAAGAAGCCGATGGGGTTGTGTAGTTGCTCACACTGCCTGTTGCTGATGATGGGTACTTCAGCTTCTTGGAGGGTAGAGGGGTACTGATCTGCAGGGGGAGGCAGGAATGAAAGAGTGTGAACCCTGGAAGGTAACAGGGTGCCGGTCAGGGCCAGCCCCCTTCCAGCCACACTTGCTATGGGAAAATCCGAGGTGGTTCAGTCCAAACAGGTGAGTTTGAATTGCTTCAGTGTGTGCCAGAATTCTAATAAAGAATATTCGGACAAATTCTGATTAAGTCAAAATGTAGGTAATGTAAATGATTGTAAAATTGTTCTCCTCCTCATTTTTCTGCTTCCAGATCAATTTCTGTCATATCTCTACTTCATTCTGGAAAAGTATTGACATGCATTTTATAAACAAATTAACATATACAACCCCCCCAAAAAACTAGACTCTCCAAACATTAAACTATGTTTAATAGTCTCTGAAGGAGAGGTAATTATGTGTTTAAATTGTTAATATTTGCTCTCTCAGTTATAACCAGACTCTAGGCATGATATAGAAGTAAATAAACAGGTAAATGCCAAAAGGATATTTTATTTGAAAACTTGTAGATTGGTTTGATTAATTAATTCCTCTCTCCGCCCATCTCTCCTGTACCTTTCGTGGTTTGTCCCCATCCAGTCACCCAGCAAGAAGCTGGGAGCGTATGCTGCTTTGAGACATTGGGCAAGCAAATGGGCAGAATGACAGAGGTGAAGGTGACTGGGGAAGACAGTTTCAGCAGGGCAATGTCTCCGCTTATATCACTGCGTTTGGGATGGATGACGATTCTGGACACATAGTATTCCTCGCCTTCGCTTGAGTGCTTTACATCAATGGATCCAAGCCACACACTGTATGAAAAATACCATCTCCTAAGAGGAAAAGATAGGAGAGTATAAGAGTGGTGTATTGGCTTGCAGCACATCAGACAAGCTGCCTATCTGTAGCCCAAAGTCTCGGAACAAGAAAAGATGATACCGCCAGAGCTCAGTTCATCTTGAGCTAAGACTGGTTTGTGCCTTTTTCTTATACCCTGTGCCCTGTCCTGGCTTCTCTTCCTGGGGTCTCCACTTATATGCTGGTGGCCATAATTTCCATTACATACTCTCCCTGCTTCCCACTTAATCTCTTCCATTCTCCGTGTGTGTGTGTGTGTGTGTGTGTGTGTGTGTGTGTGTGTGTGTGTGTGTGTCAAATAGTCTCATAAGATGTACAAAATAAATAACCTAGTTCTTGGTTCTTTTTTGACTCCCCCTCACCCACACATCCACACACAACGTTTTGGCTCTTGAGTTCCGAATACAGAAGGTAAGGTCTGGGCTTTCTTATACATCTCACTGCCCAGCCTTGTCCTAGTTCGTTTTTTTTTTTTTTTGTTTTTTTTTGTCACAGCTGAAGTTGTCTGCGAAGAGGATCCTCAGCTGAGAAAATGCCTCCACCAGATAGGTTGTTAGGTGAGTCTGTGGGGCATTTTCTCAATTGGTGATTGATGTGGGAGGGACTGCCCCAGGGCAGGTCTTGGGCAGGCTGAGCAAGCTATGGGGACAAGCCGGTGAGCGTGGTTCCTCCTGGGGGTCTGCTTTAGTGTCTGTTTCATGATGGACAGCAACTGTAAGCTGACATAAGTCCTTTTCCTACTGGGTTGATTTGGTCATGGTCCTTATTAGAGCAAGAGAAAACAATGAAGACAAGCCTCTATCCTTACTTAGTTGTCCTCTTCTCCCTAACCCATAAGGCGGTAACTTTCTGTTGTGATCAGTGTTTTCTTGTCATTGCAGGTTAGGTTGGATCTTGGGATTGCATTTCTCATAAAACCCTTTGCTTTACCTGAAGTTCATCATGTAGTCTTGTTTTGCTTTCTTATGCCCATCACATGCCCATCACAGATCCATCACTTTGTCCCCCATCTCTCTGCTAGAAAGACAGATCCCTCAGTACATGCAGGCAGTCCTGTCTGGTGGTCCATCACCACCACCAACCCTCTTCCTTGGCCCTGTGCCTTCTTGTCCCTCCTGCCCATTTGCATGAGTGGTAAAGTTGTTTTGTGACTTGGAGTAAATGTCTGTGTTTATCCGCTATCCATTCAGAGTTTGTATATGGGAAGGCCTTACAATTCTGAGCTGGGAAGAAACTCTCCCTCAGCACTTTGACGTCACTATACCATTTTTCTGAGTTTTCATGGTTGCTAATGATAAAGCCTGCTATTTTGACTTGTCTGCCTATCAGTTACCTGTTGCTGCACAGTTAGTTGCTACAATGTTTTGTGGTGTAAATGAAAACATATTTGTGTCTGGGATTCTTTGAGTCGGGGATCAGCTGTGGTCTATCTAGTGCTCCCATCGCAGGATCTCTAAGGCCATTCCAGTCAGGGTGGGCTGCAGTCATCTCTGGGCTTGATGGGGGAGGGTCTGCCCCAGCTCACCTACATTGAGTTGGAGTCTTCGTGAGGAACCAGTTTCATATGGTGCTCGCCACGTGGCTACTGTATGCTTTCACACAATGGCTCTGAAAGCTCAGACTGTGCCCGTGAGACCCAAAGGCTCGAGACAAACCCCTGATGGTAGTTCAGAAGTGAGATAGTACAATGAAAGGGACCTGTCTACACCCTGTCCCCTGGTTGTGTTCACTCCAGGATGATGTAGTGTTCCCTTCTGCCCCGCTGATCTTAACACTTGTGCTAGCCTGTTGGTTCCCATGGTGCCATGCAAACATTCCCGGAGAAGCTGTCTGGGGGTCAGCTCCCGGCTACAACTTACTCTTTTATGCAGTGTGCTGCTGTCAGTACCCAATACTTGCTGATGAGGGAACCTCCACAAATGTGGGTCTGGTCAAACTGCAGGCTGACCTGCCAAGGCCAGCGCCCCAAAGCAGCAGCTTGGCCCCCTACGATTCGCCCAGAGTATACAGGTCGTCCACACACTAGACGAAGGAGAGAAGGAACTGTGCAGGCTGGGAGCTCAACCTCTGGTCTCCATTTCACCCTTGACCCCAAACGCCTACCTCATCCTTTTCTAGGGTTTAAGCCCTCCCTAAGACAATTTAACCCCTCCCTAAGACAACTTACACTTCCCAATTGCCCCCCTTTTTTTTTCAAAGAGTGTGCTTTAAGTATATGGGTGTTTTTATCTGCACATCAGAAGAAGGCATTACAGACGACTGTGAGCCACCATATGGGTTCTGGGAATTGAACTCGGAACCTCTGGGAGAGCAGCCAGTGTTCTTAACTGCTGAGCCATCTCTCTAGCACCCCACCCCCACCCCAAATTCCAGTTTCAAACTCAGCAGTCCTAAGCCAGGGTGGAGACTACTCACCTGATTGCAAAGTTTTATTTCTGGCAAAAGGGCATCGGCAAGACCCTGCAGAAAACACACCATGTCATTAATGCATAGTAACACATCTATGTTTAAACTCACAGAACAGAATGCTCTCCAGATTGGTGGTAAGGCTAAAATTTACAAATAACTACCAGTCACCTGGGGCTCTTGATAATTATATACCTCCCTGCCTGTAGCAACCGAAGTTTACCTTGCTTGATAATTCAGGGTCATTATCAGGAACATCAAGTGTGTTCACTTGTAATACATTGATGCCTTGGGTTGTTTATGAGATTTATAGACTTTATTTTTATGTCATTTTCTTTAGCTGAATTGTCACTTTCAGTATTTATGAATCTTTTTTTGCTACCTCTTACCTCTTTGCTACCGACAGCATGGCCTTCTTTTCATCAATTGTAGGCCAGAGAAATAGCAAGTTATGTATTATACCAGAAGTACCTCCAGTTTCTTCTGCCTGAAATGCAGTTTTCCAGGATCTAACCTCCTCGCTATAGGGAGGAAGCCTTGAGCGAATGAGTGAATGTATACTGTTGACCTGGCCATGGTCATGCCAGGGACCCTCAGACCTGTGGGAAAATGGCAAAGCCCCCTCACCCTAGGCGTGCGGCATGGAGGGAAGGGATAGCTTTGGCTCATGTGTGGATGGCGATAGTGCGATAGTGTGGGCAGAATATATCCCGGTCTCTTTCCAGGATCTGCTCAAATCACTCTGTTTTTAGAGAGGCCATTTTAGGCTAACCTGTTAAATTGCAGCACACCTCTTTGTGTTGTTGTTGTTTTATGTAGGCTAGGTTGGCCTAGCCCTCCTGAATGCAGCACAGTCTGGCCTCAGTCCTCCTGACTTGCCCCTGAACTTTAGCTGCCTCTTGCCTTTCATAATTTTCCACCCATCTTACTGCTTTATCTGACTGACCACGGACATTAATTAAAACAGTGGCGTATATGCAATAATCTCTCAAGAGTTTCTTAGGTGATGCCGCTCACAGTAGCATCCATACGATATCATTTAACGTCTTCTTGAGTCAAGTGGCTTCCGCTTTTCGCCCCTCTTGGCCCTGCCCTGGGGCTCACCTAACATAAGCAGCAGCAGGACCACGGAGACAGAGAAAGCGGGGCCCATGCCTCTGCCATCGGTGCAACACTTCCTCCTTCCCGGCTCAGGGCTCAAGCCGAGGAGTAAGTTCCCTGGGAAGGGGCTGGACCGGCTCCTGCTGTAGATGGAGCTCTCGGCTTCTTCCCCTTTGCCTCAGCCAGACTGCAAGGGATCAGATTTAACACTGTGGGACCGTGCAGCGCGCACCCTACTGTGACGAGGGAGCCCACTGTGTGGCGTTTTCACGTGAGTGGTGTAGTGTAGCACGCTAAGGGAGCTGGGAAGGAGCGAGAAGTGAAGGGGGACAGGATTCGAGGATTAGCCAAAAACAAGAAATGGGAGCCTGGTGTGGTGGTGCATGCCACCCAGCACGTGGGAGGCAGAGGCAGGGGGAATCTCTGTAAATTCGGGGACAGCCTGGTCTACAGAGCGAGTTCCGGGACAGCCAGGACTACACCCTGCCACCACTGCGCAAAAGAGACAGAGACAGAGACAGAGAGACGGAGACAGAGACACAGAGAGAGAGAGACACAGAGAAGAGAGAGAGAGAGAGAGAGAGAGAGAGAGAGAGAGAGAGAGAGAGAGAGAGAGAGAGAGAGAGAGAGAGAGAGGAAGAAATGGGGAAAGAGGAAACTAACCCAGTATCTGAATTAAATCCATTTTCCTTTTCAAATCAGGTTTACAAATAAACTCTAGTAAGACAATGATCTGTGTATAGGACTTTTGTCACAGACTCAGTGTTAATACCTGGGGTGTTCGTGGAAAAAGCCAGGAGCAGAGTGCTACAAGGACACCTGGAGCAAACCGAGGGCAGACCTGAAGGCCAGTGCTAGGAGGGCTTGGATGACGTCAGCTTCACAGCTGGTAGCAGGATTGTTCAGCGCCTCTGTCAGATTCCTGGCCGTCCATACACTAAAATAGCTCAACTGCACTCCATGCCACCTGCCTTGTAGCCAATTTGGAATTCCTAAGAGGCTTCATTTGATGCCGATAATCTGTTCTCACCAGGACATGGGTTCTCATGGCTATGGATGAATTAGTTTTGAGGTAGTTCTCCTTATATAAAAAGAGGAGGGGTAGGGGACACAGAAATGTCAGAGCAGGCCAGCTGTTTTCTAGAGAGGTTGCCCTCAGCCTGACTCCGCCTATTGTCATGAAGATGATTGAGCATGGTGCATGTGCCCACCCGAGCATGCAACTGATACAGAGTCCCAGGCCAGCCTCAGAAACGTGATCTTCCCAAGAGTTAGCTTTCCCAGTCGCCCTCCCCAGCCTACATCTTTATTTAAATAACTACAGTTAAAAGACATTTTAAGCCGGGCGGTGGTGGTGCACGCCTTTAATCTCAGCACTCAGGAGTCAGAGGCAGGCGGATCTCTGTGAGTTCCAGGCCAGGATGGACCGACAGCCTCCAAAACAATACAAAGAAACCCTGTCTCGTTTAAAAAAAAAAAAAAAAAAGACATTTTTAGAAGTGAACATTAAAAAAAAAAAAGCCTCCATGTATTTGTTTACTGGCTGCCCGACTACATTTTCCCAGGTTTGTGCTCTTCAGATCCACTTGTCTTGAGTTGTGTCTGCCGAAGTGCCTGCCATCTTAGCTGTTAACCTACTAGCGTCCCAAAGTCTTTCTCGGATCCTTAAGGGCTTTACACATTCAAACTGGCTTTGTACCAGTTGTGTGATTTTATCATCTTATAATTTATGACTTCCTGCTTTTTATCTTTTTTTTCTGAAGAAGAAAAAAAACACTTATTTTAATCACAACCACCTTTGTGGGTATTTCAAATAATTTATGGTGTTCACAATTTTATCTGTGAATGTACTTTAAAAAAAAAACCGCCATAGCAGAGTGTTGGCCTAGCAGACACAAGGCCCTGGGCTCTCCCCCACGCACTGCAAAAAGCAAAAAGTCAGATCTTTGTCTAGCATTTGCCTGAGTTGTGTCTGGAAATGGCAAGTTTCTCCTTGTTTTGTCATGACCCTTGGGTTCTGGACAGGTCTCTGACTAGTCTGGCGTAAAGGTTTGTGCAGACACTGTTGGGCCCCATCGTTACCCCAGATTGCTGGGCAAATGTGCATTTTTAACTGACTCCCTTTATAATTTGATTAGGTTGCTCACAGAATCTCTTTTCCCTTCTGTTAATATCTTTTCTAAAAATGTGTTTTGGCTGGGTGTTGGTGGCACATGCCTTTAATCCCAGCACTTTGGAGGCAGAGGCAGGTGGATCTCCATGAGTTTGAGACCAGCCTGGTCTACAAAGCGAGTTCCAGGACAGCCAGAGTTGTTACACAGAGAAACCCTGTCTCAAAAAAAAAAAAGTATTTTGCTACTGCTGTCTGTTAAATTTTGTCGTAGGCAAACTCTGTGGGATGTAACGAGGGCACCAGCTTCTTACTTACAAAGGGTTGTCCTGCTTTTCCTGTACAAATTATAGTTCATAGAAACCAGTTAGGCTCAGTTGGTGAGGGACAGAGTCTGCCTCATAACTGTGTTTGGGCTATTAGGAAAAAAAAAAAAACTAGGAGGTCACCACTTGCATCCCATCATGAATTGATTAGGACAGTGGTCACAAATACAGAAGCCTTAGTTGAAGGTGGATGCAGAGCTCAGGCTGGTACCTTTGAGCCCTCTGATCAAGTGTTTCGTGGCCAAAAGTGGGACAAGGCAGACACGTGCCTCTTGATGTCTCGAATATGAAGCACACAGTACCTCCTGTACAGCAGCCTCCTCAGGAAAAGAGACACTAGAGCTCTTAAGCTACCTCCATTTGCCAAAAATACAAGGCTTGAAAGAACCAGTTAAATTACAACACAAGGAAGTAAATAGGCAGAGTCAGAATGTGGGACATTTTCTAAAGCCGCTAACCTAGTTTCTGCAGTAAGTCAACCCTGTGGAGGAAAAGGAGGGAGGGAGACTTCGATAGGTTATAAGAAACTTTAAAGAGGGAGCTAAGTGTTGTCCCTGTTTGGATCCTGATTCCACAAACCAACTCTAATGAGTCCTTTTTCTGTAAGGTAGGAAACCTGATAGAGCTGGATATTGGATGGGTGGCCTTAATCTTGATGGGTGTGACAATGGCATTGGGTTATATAAAGAAATATATATTTTCAAATAGAGAACCAGGAACCTCTGAGTCCTTTGTAAATCTGAGCTAAATTCCTTTTTGTCATTTTGGAGAATGCTCCAGTGGTTTTTAGTCTGTAGCGCTATTGTTTTCATGGGTGAGGCATCGTGGCCTTGAACACATCATCTAATCCAGTGCCCTTTCTCCAGGCTCCTGTTGGGTCATGCAGGGACCAACTGAAGGTTGTAAAGACCCTTCATAAATGTAACATTGATTGGGCATTGCCTCTTTATTGGCATTTGCTTTATTGATTCTACTTTTCCTCTACAGATTTTTTAATTTCAGTTCAGCAATCAAGAAACATGCTAGGCTGGACATTTTACGGCTCCCCTGACTTTACTAAAATAGGGAAGCACTGGAGAATTGGAAGTAATGGGTGTAAATCTTATGCCCACCCCTTGGACACTCGTGGAGCTCTCCACCGCTCTTACCATGTTCTGTCCCAGGCGTTGGATCCTCTGTCCCCAGACATTACAGTTCAGGTGCTTTTCAGCTGCTGCTACTGTACACAAAAGCTGCTGGTTTGGGAAATGCCAGTATGGGGGGAGTCGTGATAACTTTGTTACTTGCTATGGAGCTGTGGACAAGTTATTACCTCTTTATCTTTGCAAAATAGGGATAAGTAATACACCATAAGATTTCCATAAGAATTAAATGTATTAGTACAGATCTAGCATTGAGCTTGGATTTCACCTATTAAAGCAGCTTAATAAACCGCAGCTGTGGTTTTTAGTTTAATTCTCAACAGACATTACCTTGGTGACAGCTTAGATTTGTGCCAGTGGACACTGGAGGCTAAGATGCCCCAACTTTGGCACTGGTGGCCTTAGGGATCAGATGACTCTTTGCTGTGGGGGTAGCTGCCTTGTTAATTGTGGATTATAAGGAGCATCCTTGGCCTTCCAGGTGGAGGGATTTCCCTATTAGTAGTGACATGTCAACAGACATTGTGAGATGTCCCTGGGGTCAGAGTCAGGTGGTTGTTGAGAATCTTGTTATAGAAATTAATTTTTATCATGAGTATCCTAAAAATAAAATAAGGGCAAAATGGATTTATAAGTTATGTAACTTTTTATTTGCATTCCTGTCTCTTCCCTAATTCAGTCCATCAAATTAACCTGTAATATTGGAAAACCATCTCCTAAAGCAGTGGTTCTCAACCTTCCTAATACTGGGACCCTTTAATACAGTCCCTCATGTTGTAGTGACTCCCAACCATAGCATTATTTCATTGCTACTTTGTAACTGTAATTTTTGCTACTGTTATGAATCATAATGTAAATATCTGATATGCAACCTCAAAGAGGTCACAGCCCAAAGGTTGAGAGCCAAAGTCCTAAAGACTAATTGGTTTCTGTAGCATGTGTGTAGCAGACCCAGACATTGGCCATTTTTTTAGTGCCCTGTGTTCTCTACTGGAAGAGCTAAACTGGGGCTGGCAAAATGGCTTAGCTGGTAAAGAGCTTACCATAGAAGCCTGTCATCCCAAGTTCAATCCCTGGAACCTATAGTAAAGGAGAGCACTGACTCCTAAAAATTGACCTCTGACCTTCACTGTTGCTATGGTGCACATATCCCTGCACACACATGCATATACACACATGCTCACGTATGCACTGCCACCACCACCACCGATGATGGTGATGATGATGATGATGTTGATGGTGATGATAAGCACAAATCTAAAAGGTCCAATCTGGTCTTAGTTCTTGAACCTGGACAAGAAAAATTTAGTGAAGCTTTAGTTTCACTACAGTAAGTCATAGAACTAGTTACTATGTGTATATAGTGTATCTGTTACATCCAGCTCACACCGTGGACAACCCTCTTCTCCCTGGCTCTTCATTTTCTTAGCTGGTCTGTGTGCATCTCTTGAATGAGACTAACCCTGTGCAAAGCTCTGCCCTGCTTCTTGCCTTATCGTAGGGATTTGTGCTGTCCTGTACATTACTAAAGAAGAAATACTTACCTTTTAAAATTTTTGCTTCTAAAAAACAGTTGCTTCTACTCATCCTGAGGAATCCTCCTTCATAGTTTTAACAGTTGGATTTCTATTG